AACCCAAAATGTGATGTCCACATATGTGGACGCCAGGTCCTAGGAGGTTAATGTTGTAACAATATTGGGACAGTACTGTTACACAAGAAGGTAGGTGAAGTCTATCTGTTTCCTCAAATGTTAGTCTTTGTCAACCACAAAGGGCTAGCCAAATGAAAGTTGTTTTTAGACTATTTACCTCCACTTGTCTGAAAGAAAGTCAAAAATCTCAAACTGCCCAGACTGGGAGATTTTCAAAAATGGCTGATACTCACGTTCTTGTTTTTACTTCTTATTTCTCTACAGTAATCCATCTATATGATGCAGTCTCTTAGTATTTGTGGAAAACGTATGTGGTATATCTGATGTAGTTACCTGTTAAGATTAGTAACCATCAATCTTAGGTGGGATAAGATAGTCTCTTCTATCTCTCTATTCTAGTGACTAAAGTGTCAGAAACGCATACAAAACTGAACAAATAGATTCAGCTACTGATAAGGGAAAGTTCTCTTTTTTTCTTTCTTTCTTTCTTTCTTTTTTTTTTAAAAAAAACTAATTTTGGTGAAGTCACACTTTGTCTGTAGACTGATGGAGGTAGAGCAGGTCATTTACTAACTGGAAGGTTAGTGGCTCGATCCCTGGCTGCTCCAGTCTGCAATTTTTGGGCAAGATACCAACTCCAAGTTGCTGTCCAGCGGAATAAGAATGTGTGTGAATGTTAGTTAGAAAACACTTACATAGGGGGGGAAAAGCACAGGGGGCAAGTTGTATAAAGCACTTTTAGTTATCATGTAGAGTAGAAATGTCCCATATACGAATCAGTTAATTTACCATTTATTGATGGCGTATATTGAGTTCTTTGCTTTCCCCCTCCTCTCTCTACACCCCTCATCCCCCTCTCTCTCTCTCACTCACTCACTCACTCGCACACACACACACGCAGACAAACCACAGCCTTAGCAGAACTGCAGGTACAGATTATTTTTCTCTTTCCAATTCTTCCAGCAGGTCATAAAATTACGTGGACCTAAATGGTACATGACTCATTTAGAGAGTACAGAAACAGTATGATGGTGTAATAGATTTCTCTCTTTGGAACACAAACATTACTTTCAGTTCAGGGCCAATTACTTTCTAATTTCTGGGACTCCTAAAGTCCCTTCATAGACTCAGGAACGACACTGTCAATGTACCCTTTATGTCCTGTTTTTTAAAGACTCTGTCATTGCGTAACCAAACACACACCAACTGTATTCCATCACTAAAATCCCACTATTCTAGTTTCTGTACTGTCCAATGAATGAATATGGTCCCTAATGTCTCGTATAACTTCTAGTAGACTGTCAACTCATTCTTTAACCCAAACATATGCCTAGCTCCATCTGAAACATTATCCCTCCTCTCTAACAGCAACATTGACCGTTTTATAATAAGCTTCTTTAAATGGAGGCTGACTCAACGTTTCCTGTTCTTTAACCTCCCACATTGCTGGTCTTATTTAATTTGTTCCCAGCTGAAGTGTCTGAAAAAGAACTTCTACTCAGCCTTA